GTCCATGTCTTGTCATCAGACATAACTCCTTCATTTTGTTCCACTATCACGGAGAAGTCAGTTAGGAAGTCTATGATCGCTTAGGGCTTAATTACTATTTGAGGTACGTATGTGATGTTGAATTCATTGAGCTCCACTCTCACTTTAGCAGTCGGGTGGAGTGCTCCGACTATTTGAGTAAAAAAAATAACATAAACAATTAAAATGAATGTTAGTTTTTCCATAATTATATATCTAGTTTTGGCGTCCTTAAGCACTCAACTTGTGTGGTAGATTGGGTATCGAGCTCCGAGTTTCATTATGTTTAGCTTGAAGTAAAAAAGAAATACTAAAAAGAAGCAAAGGATTAATCATATCTCAAAATCTACATTTTTCATATAATTAGAAATATCCTAAATTTGGTGTGTTCCAGATCCCGCACTAACTGCCACCATTGCTACGACCACTTGTACAATCACCACCAACCATCAACGGACATAATCATCACGACCCATCTATTGCCCACCACCGCCATCACCTGCTAGCTCAACCCATCCATTGCAACCGCCAACACCACCTACTAACTCGCACCATGATCAATCGCTCGCATCCGTCCTCATCTAGATTCCCATAACTTTGAAATTATAGTAACAAACATAAAATAATTATTGAATGTCAATTGCATCGAATAAAACAACTCATGTACTTTTATAGTATTTGCATTTTTAATCAAAATTTAAAATATAAAAAACATCAAATCAAATACCCGCTAATTCCCTAATATATATTTATCTCAAACAAAAGTAACTAAGATTGGGCTACTCACAACACGCGTCCTTGAAATCCAGGAAAGCCTCCCTTGTGAAACATGCCCTCTTCCTGGTCTGCGACCTTGGATCCTAAATTGACCTTGGATCCTAAATTTTATCTCAAAACTCTCTTCCTGGTTCAGCCTTGAGAAGCTCAACTCATAACGTGATAGATCAATTCTCACTCCTCTCGGCTCCTCAATTCTAGCCCAGTACACAGTGCTTCTTTTCCTCACGCTTTTCACACTTCGAACCACACTTTTCTCTGAGTTTGATCCCAAGCTCACTGAGATTGATGGGTAGTTCAAATCCGCCGCCTCCATGCTCTTGTTGCATGAAACAAACTGCTTCGCGATTGCCCACATCTGCATCAAAACGTACTGCTTAGACGCAGGAAGCGCCTTATACTTTCCACTAGGTAAAACATTAACAAAATGCATTTAAGATGATGGGTTATGCTTTACATATATGGGTCACATAGACTACAAAAAATCTTAGTGATATATTTTATCAAACAAAATATGATTTTGATCAAATAAATGCAGTCGACAATTTCAACAATTATTTTCTTTTAAATGACTCGAATTATTTCTACATATATTTAGCAATCATTCTGATTTTGAAAAGAAAACTCCCCATTAAATAAAATGAATTAAATGATTGAGGTCCACAACTTTATTATGCATAATAATATAATAACTAGAGAGTACCAAACTTTACAATTATATGCCACTGGACTGAAGGATGATATAAAAAATGGCACGGCTTTTACATCGAATTAATGCAATTATCCTCCAATACTTCGGGATCCCATCCTTCCATAGTAAAGGTTTAAAACAGTCTAATTAACCCGTTTTGCTTGGCCCAGCCAAAGGTTGGAGGAACCGGAGATAGAAAGTGTATATGAATTTTAGGTGTGATTTTTTTCATTGGTACTTAACATTATCATAACCAAGACGAGAAGGAAAAAGAAAAAAAAAAAATAATAATAATATAGAATTTTATTTTATTTTTGAGTTTGTATACATATCATCTAATTTTTATGTATGTGTATATAAAACTATATATCATTTTAATGACTCAATCATACATAAACACACTGCATGAAGGATACATTTAATAAAAAAAATTAATTTAAATGATCTTTTTAATATGTTATAATGATTTAGACAATATATAAATAAATATTGAAATTTTACTGAAAGATCTAAATAAATATTAAAATTTTGATGATAAACAAATAAGAACTATTTGCTATATAATTCATTATGAATTAAGCTTCCCACCTCCGTGTTGGTATACCCCAATCCACATAGATAATGCAAGTAATGTTTTTGCTCCATATCGAAGACCAGACCGGGATTTAGCGCTCCCTCTGGGTGCAACTGCCCAGCTCCGGCGGCAAAGAGGCTCGCCGAGCTATTGTAAGACAATTCGTCGAACATCTGATGCCCATCAATATCCTGGTTTGTCGCTGATGTTATGATAGCTGAGTGGATCATCGCCGGCGACCACCGCGGGTGCTTCCTCCTTACCAGAGAAGCCACACCGGCGACGTGAGCAGCGGCCATGGATGTCCCGCTCATGAAACTGAACAGTGACGAGGAGGCTACCGGTGACCACGCGGAGATAACGTTTACTCCCGGGGCGACGATGTCTGGCTTCAGCAGGCCACCGTTCATCAAGCTAGGCCCTCGCGAGGAGAATGCGGCGACTGCCGGCGACGGCCGCGCCCCAAATATCGTGCTGTTGAAAAATATCGCAGCCACCGGCGACGATGTAGAATAGATATAACTTCGGAGTCGCAGTCCGTCCAAATAACTCAGATGTGACGCAGGCAACTCGTGCAACTCGGAGCGCGTGGTGAACCCACGATTCCGCCGGTTTATCAATATCACGGCGGCAGCGCCGGCGTTCCGTGCCGCGTGGGTCTTTCCGGTGTTAACCTCTTCGCCGGCGAAGCAGAGGACGATCTTTCCTCTAAGATCGAGATCTGCGAGGGAACGATTGTGACAATTTGAAGCGGCCGCGTCGCCATCTATGCCCGGGAAAGCTAGCGGCAGGAAGATGGGAGGAAACTCGTCGCTCGGCGGCTGGAACGCGCTTTCTCCCATCAGATCCACGCCGTTCCCAAGTCTCACCGCTGCTCTAACCCTTCTATCGAGGGTGCTCGCGCCTGCGGTCACCAACCATGGAGCCTCATGGCTGATCTCGCCGTTTCTCGGCCCGCCATTTCCAACCGAGGTGCAGACGACGATTCCCTTTCCAACCGCGGCAAAAGAGGCTACGGCGACGCTGTCCTGATACAAAGGCATGGGCATCCCGCCGAGAGGGATCAAAAGGACATCGACTCGGTCATGAATCGCTTGATCGATAGCGGCCAATACATCGCTATCCCTGCATTGGCCCTCGAAGCAGACTTTGTAGATAGCAAGGTGAGCTTTAGGAGCCATCCCCGATGCTCTTCCGCGGGCCATTCCACCAACATCGACATGGCTTACAAAGTTCCCTGCAGCGATTCCAGCAACATGCGTTCCATGCCCGTCGAAATCGATTGGAGAAGCCTTCCGATCGCCAGCGCGGAATGCCTTTGCGCCGATGAGCTTGTTGTTGCAATTGGCGATGGAGCATTGGCCCTTCCATTTGACCGGTGGGGGCGGAACGCCTTCTTCGTGGAAAGCTGGGTGGGTTGGGGAAATGCCGGTATCGATGACGCCGATGACAACGCCCTCCCCATAGAAGGACTTGTCCCATGCACTGCCGTGGCTGGCTGTCCAATCGTCCAGGTTGAGGAATTGAGGGGTGTAGGTTGTATGGGGAAAGAGGGGGCGGTCTGGCTGGGCGAAGAGGAAGTCGTCGATGGATTTCATGGCTTCAACTTCTTGAGGGGTGAGTCGGGCGGCGAAGCCTGCGATGGAGTTACGGTAGGAGTAGACTAGTCGGGGCTCGCCGGAGGAGAGGGTGGTGTTGGGGAGGAAGGAAATATGCCAGCTCTTGAAATGAGAGGGAGAACGGAAGAGCAGCTGAGGTTTCTTGACATGTACAATGTAGGTTTGCAGCTGATCGTTGATGATCGGGAGATGAAGGGAGTGAGTGAAAGGGGGAGTGAAAGGGAAGAGGAGGAAGAAGAAGAAGGGCAGAAAGGAGAAGAAAGGGCGGAGTCGCATTGGGAATGTATGGAGGAAACGGCGAAGACAGTGATTGTAGTGCAATAGAGAAAATTATAGTGATATTCATGTGAATTAACGCCAAGGATAGCTTCGTCTCTTATCCGGACTCCGCCGAATGAATTGTTATGCGGTCAGACACGAGCGTCCTCCGTTGATCGGAAAACTGTTAGATTATCATACACATAGGTTCGTTTGTTTGTTTGAGCTTTTCTGTCTGAGCATTTTTGAATGGCGTTACAACTGTGGCAGTCATGTATCGCAACCGCTGCTCAGCACTCGCGTCCCGCATCTTTTTTCCTGCTATACCCCGAGGTGAGCGGGGTTAATGTGTTTGACTGATTAACGTTTTGTAGATTAATCTGTGTTTAATTGATTTAATTAGGATGAAATTAATGTCTGGAAGATATCATTTTAAGATAATAACTCTTTATTTTATTTTTATTATTATAATATAAAAAATAAAATAATCTCATAATTAAAAATAATTTATGCGCATACTTAAATTTAAAATAAAATAAAATAATTTTAAAATATTTACATATCTAACACATAAATTTTATTGTTACACTAAGGCACACCTAGATTTAAGAGGATTTTTTAGAAAGTAGCTATTATAAAATTTAGCTCACTCTTGATTCTATGATTTAATTTTTGAGTTCATTTTGTTGGGTCTTAAAGTGTCCTTTTGTGAACGTGCCCCAATAGAGCGGAGTGAATGAGAGAAGGAAGAGAGTAGAATAAGTTTGGAAAATTTTTAGGGGCAGTCGAGGGAAATGACCCCCTTTATTCATATTTTTGTCTCGTATTTATAAATGTGTGTATTGTACTATTGCAAAGAAAATGGAAACGGTTATGGAATCTGTTTTTAATGTCATTAATGCTCTAATTGATTGTATAGATATTATATCATATTTGCATTAAATTTGAATTTCAATATTGGTGTCCGGCCGCATGACGATCTTACTTGATGTCTTTTGGCACAGTCGACCAAAGCGGCTGATTGTGATGTGGTCGTTAGGTCAAACGTGATCGGTCGGCTTTTTTTCATTGAGTGAGTCATGACTCATTTTTTGTTAGACTCGAGTTTTACAGCGCTCGTGTATCACTTGTCTGCTTGGTTCGTTGTCTCGACCCGATCTTCGAATCTTATAAGGTCATAGACGGATCTTATCACAGCCTATATGGGGTATTGACTAAACCCACAATTACGCGGTTATTTTTTTTCCTAGAAGAAAAACTTGCCCGATTTTATTTGGCGGCTAGTGTGCAAAATGAATATGTTATAGAATTTAGAATTGATTTATAATTTAAATACTATGAGTTCTGCGCAAGTATACATATCGTTGCAAGTAATATAGAGTTTTCTTTAAAAACCGCAGTCTCGATCCCACAGAGAAGCGTTAACTTTATATAATGACTTATAAAATTCCTACTTAAAACAGTAGATGCTTATCTAGGAAAAATAAGTAATCACTACCAATAAGTGCAGTTTACAAATAAAAATAAAAATGTGAAGTGTTTCTTAGACAACTAAGTGTAGAAGAGTTTCAAATTATATGAAAAATCTTCTTCCTTGCAATGAGTTTATCATCAGTATACGAATCAAATGTTTAAATGTTAAAATGTAGTTTTGTGTCAAATAAGGAGCATGCCAAATCTTTACTCTATTTCGAGTGCATAAAAAACATTGGTTAATCTAAAGTAAGGTTGCAAATTTTCTCAGGTTATGTTGAGTAGGTTATAGCTTCTCACTTCCAGATTACCCCGATGTGCTCTCTCTATAGGACAAACAGGTCCCAAGATTCCAAACTCTAGACCAAATTGGAAGAATCTAGTCTGTCACCCTAAAAACATCAATTCTACACCCTTCAAAATTTATCCTTCTATCTATTTACACTACATTATGGACTACTTTTCTTTCCCTTCCATCTATTTACACTACATTATGGACTACTTTTCTTTCACCCAATAATACAATATGATTCTTACTAGTTAAGGAATACATAGTCCTCCCAGGTCATTATGGATTCACAACAAATTTTAACATATCAATTGACTAGATAAATATGTAAATGAAGCATGAAATAATGAATCACCACAAGTATGAAATAAGAGAAGTTTTAAACAATTTTAATCCTAAACAAGATTAATTCTCATTACAAGGAGGAAGATAAGAAACTAATCATGGTGTTGATCTCATTATTGGTGAGGTCTGAGGTTCTCCTTTCTAGAAGCCTAGAGTCTAGCCATAGGACTTTCATATTGACTATCCTAGAGGACTAGTGATGAACCCTTCTTTAGAAATTCTAAACATTTTCTTATTGTTTCTTCATTTTAACATGTATAGTTCTAATCTCTAACACTTAGAAGTTTGGAACCAACAAGGGAAAGCTCAGAGAGAATTCTCATAAGATTATCAGGCCTTAAAGTTAGTCCTGAGTGGCTTGGTTTTGGTCAGGCTTACACAAACATGTCAGTCATTAAAGGGCAATTTGATGTGAATGGTGTTCCGTCAGGTGAACCAGTTGGAACACTAGTCACATGAAACTTAAGAAGTGCAGAACAACATAACTTGAAATAACATTTTATTCTGTTTCCACAATTTAGCTAACCCATTGCCTGAATTACTTGATACAAATCACATCATCAGCATTGTCATCAGATTATATAACTCGATCAATTTTAGATTTGTGATGAGCCTGAAACTTCCTCTCAATCAACCTTTGACCATAGATGGGAATGATTTTTTGACTGCTTATCAATCAAGATTATCTGAATCAGTAAATAACTCCATCTCATTGCCTCCGAATAATCAGGAAACTCTACCTTTAACTAAATGAATTTTAAATATATTGTAATTTTCAACTTCTTCACTGATCCTAACGAAGCCCCCAATGATTAATCTCATTGCCCTGAAATTTAACAAATAGAGTTGGAGCTGAATCTACATGCCAACGACCTGGCCTCCCCTTTGCTGCATACTATGTATTAAACGGTGGTTATTATTATATGTATCGTTATGTTTATTCGACTTGTTGTAATATTGTGGTATTATTAGTGAATTATTCGAGTATTATTTATCTATTTTTTTTATGTAGTATATTGTTTTATTGCAGAGTGATTGGCGTATTATTAACTTATTTGTTTATTAACATCGAGGTGATGTATTATTATGGTTGTATTATGGTATTATTCAAGTCTTATTATGGTAGCATTAATGTGATTAGCTCTGCGGTAATTTTTTTAGTGCCCTGCAGTGTTATCGTGATTTTATTGTTGCTTTATTATGTTTTTATTTAGTGGAGTATTAGTATGGTTGTATTATGGTAACATTCGAGGGTTCTTTGACGGTTCCTTGAAACTTTAAAATTTTTTTATCACGTGGGACCCGACTGTACTCCCGCCCGATACTTCCCAAATTAATTGAACGAACAGAGTACGAAACGTCTATCGAAAAAGAACTCCAGAGGAAAACTAATAGGCGCACCACCTATTTTGTCATTTGCCATCTGTTTAGGGTTTCGAGTCTTCGTTCGCCAGTCGAAGTACATTCCTCAGTTCACCGCTAGAGTTCAGCTGATCAAGATGGAAGCTGAGCATTCTGAGATGGAAATCAAAGAAAACCCCATGATAGTGGAAGCCGAAGAGCCATTGGCAATGGAAAACGAAGATGAGCCATCAAGAAAACTTTAGGGAGAACATAAAGACTTTTGCCTCATTTAATTGGTCAGTTGCGCTCTGTGATTTTCTTATAGAGCAAATTAATGCAGTGGCCATCAAATTATTGCGGAACAAGCCTATTTGGTACATAAATGGTTTTCTTTATTTGCTTACGGTCAGTATATTGTAGAACGTGAACATCGTTAATATTTATTAATTATTTTTTATGCTGAATATTGTGTATCTTTTATGCAGCTCTGGTTTTTTGAGCATACATCCGTGGTAACGCCTGCCAATGCTGAAGCCAGACCTAGGATGTTGAGATGGTCAACAACTGTTAGCTTGAACTCCTTGCAGATAGATGTGGCCTTTAAGAGGTTGATCAGTGAACAGGTCAGTCATTTACACTGTTGTTAAATAACTTATTTTTGGAATAATGATTAAGGTTTTTGTATCGTGAAATGTCTTGCATGCCAATGATAAATTCTTGGACCTACAAGAGGAGGAACTAAATTTTTTGGCCAATCTAGATATGGTACTACCTGATATTTGTCAAATTCGTCAGCCTGAAATTAGAGCAGAACCTCCTGTAACATTTGATATGGGGCCAGTTGTTGAGGGGGAGAGTGCCTCGGGACTAATTTTCAATGTAATGAACAAGAACCTTGAAGCACTAATTAATCTAATCAAAGGACAGGAGAAATGGTTCAGGGAGTTCCGAGGGACTCTTAATACAATTATTGTTAGAGTTTCAGGTCTACAAGAACAAATGTTGAAAACACAGAATAAAATTGAAAAAAATGAAAATGAAGCTGCTGACAGATATGGTACTACCTGATATTTGTCAAATTAGTCAGCCTGAAATTAGAGCAGAACCTCCTGTAACATTTGATATGGGGCCAGTTGTTGAGGGGGAGAGTGCCTCGGGACTAATTTTCAATGTAATGAACAAGAACCTTGAAGCACTAATTAATCTAATCAAAGGACAGGAGAAATGGTTCAGGGATTTCCGAGGGACTCTTAATACAATTACTGTTAGAGTTTCAGGTCTACAAGAACAAATGTTTAAAACACATGAATAAAATTGAAAAAAATGAAAATGAAGCTGCTGATATAGGCATAGTACTAGAGGAAGCATATGCCCAGTCCCCCTCATCTCCCGTTGTAATCCCACATACTGACGAGAAGTATGGACAGCACCCCTCCCCTCCTGTGGGAATCCCAGATGTTGTTGAGGAATTCTCCCAGCCTCCCTCCCCTCCTGTTGTAATCAGACATGATGAAGAGGCATCTGTCCACCCCCCCTCCCCTCCTGTTGTAGTCATACATGCTGAAGAGCAATCTGTCGAGCCCCCCTCCCCTCCTGTTTCTGCTGGAATCCCACATGCTGTTGAGCATTATGCCCAGCCCCCCTCTACTTCTGTTATAATCCCTCATGTCGATGAGGAATCTTCCCAGCCCCCCTCTCCTTCTGTTGGAATACCATATGCTGCTGAGGAAACTGCCCAGCCCCCCACTCAGTTGATTTCCAGCTTATTGCATAGGGTGAAAGACCGACGCACTCGTAGTAAGAAGGTTGTGAGCTCCCCTTTCACACCCTTTGAATATAAACGAAGGAAAATATCAGAGGATGCTCAAAAGATTTTGTCTGCCGATGAAACAATGACTGATGAAGATACTACTAGCTCTCTAGAAAAAAAACACATGTACAAATTTCAGAGATTGTAGAGCAAATACTTAATATTGCCATCTCAGATCAGTGAATTGCTGCTACTGCTACCACCCAAGAACTACCTGATACTACTGCCACCTCACCAATAACTGAAACAATTTGCAGTTAGTAGTATATGTACCTCCAGTACATGCACCGATACCACCTGCAGTGGGCGTATCTGAAACATCGGTATTTCTAAACTAATTTGGATTAATTTCTTATATGTAGTCTATTTCATTTGATATTTCAATAGCTTTTTTTATGTGTAGTCCTCACTGACTGAGAGACACGTAGATTTTCTGGGGCGAACACTAATATCTGAGGAAATGCAAATAGTAATTGATCAGTTCTTGTCACAATACCCTGTAAAGTGAGTAGCATTCAACTGGTCGTTTCATCACAAGTTTATTAATGTGAGGTGATATATATTTTATTTTTACCCTTCAGAAATGACTTTATTGTCCACCTAAGAGATAGTTCAATCTATATTGATCGGGGTATGATGGATGATGTCCTCTACAATGGATGGATTGAGAATGACCAGATGGATGCATTAGCCCTCATTCTTCATGGGAGGAAGACTCACACTCCAACATCATTCCAGCGATATTTATACCTTTCTTCTTTATACTATGTATACAAATAAAATAATGTTCGTCATAATATTTTTTATGTAGTTGATGATTATATTAAATTGTGTCAATTCATGCAGACATATTAGAAAATGGAAGGTGGTGACAACTTAAGGTTTTTGCACCACATTACGAAGGAAGCAGTGAAAGATGTTGAGGTTATCTTGTTTCTCATTGTTGAAAACCAGCATTGGATATTGCTAATTGTTGACTTGAAGGATAAGAAATGGAGAATATATGATTCATTACCTAACAAAATGCATAAGGTAGTATGCGAGCGCGTTGTAAGTCATAAACTACATAATATGTCAATAACATTCTAATTTTGTCATTCAATAACAAATGTGCCACCCAACTTTGTAGATATCAATGTTTGCAGCGGATGCTAGACTATGTTTTGGTACGAGGAAACTTGGATCATGGGGGTTGACAATGGTTAAGAGCGTACTAACTCAAAGTAACAGCATTGATTGTGGCATGTTTGTCTGCAAGTACTTTGAAAAACTAGTTCAGGTGAACCCAGTTGATTGGAGCAAGGAGTTACGGTGGCAGGATGAAATGACAATATTTCGGGTTGAATTAGCATATGAAATCTGCATGTGGATCTCCTCCATTAAAAAAGATTGAACTGATGTGTGGACTTTATTGTATGAAATCTGCATTTGGTTGTATTGCACATGGGACATTAACCTATTGCTGGAATTGTTGTATAGATTTCTCGTTATATTGTGGTTTTACCTCTGCGGTATTCATATTGTTGTAATAGATTTACCGCGCTGGTTGTATTTTGGTTTTTTTATGGTCATGTTCAGGTTTTATTCGTGTAAAGTGTTTCACTAGCGCTGGTAGTATTTTGGTTTCTTTATGGTCGAGTTCAAGTTTTATTCGTGTAAAGCGTTTCACGAGTGCTGGTTGTACTTAGCTATTTTTTAGGTCGAGTTTAGGTTTTATTCGTGTAAAGCGATTGATGAGCGCAGGTTTTATTGGAATATGCCGCCAAAGATTTCAATGAAACCAGGCGGGTCGGCAGAAAGTCAGCAGAAATAAACCTATCTTACAGATACCGCGGTGGTTGTATTTTGGTTTTTTCACGGTTGTGTTCAGATTTTATTCGTGTAAAGTGTTTGATGAGCGCTGATTTTATTGGAATATGCCGCCAAAGATTCTAATGAAATCAAGCGGATCAACAGCAATAGACTTGTCTTACGGCAACAGCGCTGGTTGTGTTTTGGTTTCTTGACGGTCGTGTTCAGGTTTTATTCGTGTAAAGCGTTTCACGAGCACTGGTTGTACTTAGCTATTTTTACTGTCATTTTCAGGTTTTAATCATGTAAATTGTTTCATGAGCGCAGGTTTTATTGGAATCAATAGACTTGTCTTACGGCAACAGCGCTGGTTGTGTTTTGGTTTCTTGACGGTCGTGTTCAGGTTTTATTCGTGTAAAGCGTTTCACGAGCACTGGTTGTACTTAGCTATTTTTACTGTCATTTTCAGGTTTATTTTTACTGTCATTTTCAGATTTTAATCGTGTAAATTGTTTCATGAGCGCAGGTTTTATTGGAATATGCCGCCAAAGATTCCAATGAAACCAAGCGGGTCGGCATAAAAAAATCTGTCTTACAGATACCGCGGTGGTTGTATTTTGGTTTCTTCACGGTTGTATTCAGGTTTTATTCATGTAAAGTGTTTGATGAGCTCTAGTTTTATTGGAATATGCTACCAAAGATTCCAATGAAACCAGGTGGGCCAGCAGAAATAAAACTGTCTTACGGCAACCGCAATGGTTGTATTTTGGTTTCTTCACAGTCGTGTTCAGGTTTTATTCGTGTAAAGTCTTTGATGAGCGCTGGTTTTATTGGAATATGCCGCCAAAGATTCCATTGAAACAAAGCGAGTCAGCATAAATAAACCTGTCTTACAGATACCGCGGTGGTTGTATTTTGGTTTCTTCACGGTCGTGTTCAGGTTTTATTCATGTAAAGTGTTTGATGAGCTCTAGTTTTATTGGAATATGCTACCAAAGATTCCAATGAAACCAGGTGGGCCAGCAGAAATAAAACTGTCTTACGGCAACCGCAATGGTTGTATTTTGGTTTCTTCACAGTCGTGTTCAGGTTTTATTCGTGTAAAGTCTTTGATGAGCGCTGGTTTTATTGGAATATGCCGCCAAAGATTCCAATGAAACCAGGCAGGTCGGCAGAAATAAAACTATCTTACGGCAGTCGTCTTCAGGTTTTATTCGTGTAAAGTGTTTGATGAGCGCTGGTTTTTTGGAATATGCCGCCAAAGATTTCAATGAAATCAGGCGGGTCGACAGAAATAAAATTGTCTTACGGCAACAGCGGTGGTTGTATTTTGGTTTTTTCATGGTCGTGTTCAGGTTTTATTCGTCTAAAGTCTTTGATGAGCGCTGGTTTTATTGGAATATGCCGCCAAAGATTTCAATGAAACCAGGCGGGTCAGCAGAAATAAACCTATCTTACAGATACCGCGGTGGTTGTATTTTGGTTTTTTCACACGATCGTGTTCAGGTTTTATTTGTGTAAAGTGTTTGATGAGCGTTGGTTTTATTGGAATATGTCGCCAAAGATTCCAATGAAACCAAGCGGATCGGCAGCAATAAACCTGTCTTACGGCAACAACGCTGGTTGTGTTTTGGTTTTTTTACGATCGTGTTCAGGTTTTATTCATGTAAATCGTATCGCGAGCTCTAGTTTTATAGGAATATGCCACTACAATAACTCCTAAATAAAACCACAGTAAAACAAATGTCTGTTTCAACTTAAACAGCAATAATATAACAATAAAAACTTCTAAATAAGTAGTCTATAAATTATCATGTATATCCATCAGTAAGCTCGTATATGTCCCTCTTTGTTGTGTTTGAGAAAATTCTTGTACATTGATACTATTAATGAGTAAACGTCAGGAAAGAAGTCTACGTCAGGAAAAAAGTCTAGATCGAGTAGACAAAATTTCAGAAGGATCGATTTTGTAACCTAACTAAAGTGACCCTCCATTGAAAATAAATGTGGATCGCATTCCGAAATGCTATCATGACTTGAAACATTATCTTTCTCCTTTCCTGTATACAATATTACATGTTAGCGAGTAATCATTCATAAAAAAAAATAGAACTTAATTATAGGTAACATTTACTTTTTCATCTCTTGATTTTTTCCCAGTACCCTTTTAACCTTGCATTGGATATTCCTTTTGGTCGCATCTTCGTGGGATCATTCACATTTTGCTCTTTACTGGGTGTCTTCTTCTTCTTTGATTTTGACTTTTTTCGGCTGGTCTCGTCCACTTATAACGGCTTCAACATCAATTTTAAGTTTATTAAATGCCTCCAACACTAGCTTCTCGGCAAGTTCATGGCCTCGTGTTCTGGTGCCGATCTGGTATGCAAATTTATGAATGTGATTAAGATAGATGAGTCCACTTGTAGAATTTGACAATATTTTTGACACTTTGCGATTTGCATAACCATAACTGTTATATATGTCCCTTTTAGCATTAATAGTCCACCGAAGTAATATATATTTATCAGAGATTTTTGTAATATTTTTGTGCTGAAGAACCCTTAGAGCGTGAGCACATAATAAACCCATCATTTTAATTTTTTTACAACTACAAGTAATATCAGTGTTACCTTTGTCCAATTTAATAATCCAGGGTCTGGCTCTGTCCTTATTATAGAGAGTTTGGATATGAAATTCTGAACCCATAGTAGTGGAGCACTCCACAGCAAGCCCACACAACCCATGTAGAAAATGTACTTATGTAAAGTGTAGCAACATGTCTCAGTGTGGGACTGCTTTTAACAGTGGGAGAAATTGCAGACTGCTGACATTTAAATTTTTCTTCCTTTTTATTTCTTCTTCAATTCTTGATGACATTTTCAAGACCCAAAAAACATTTGGTCATGTTGCTTGTTGCCTTGGAGACATCATGACAAATCTTATTCATGGACTCATTTCTTTGCGTTAATAGGATCCCCATTTCAAAAATTTCTTTGTTGAAGGCAGTTGACCACTTCTGCCTGATATTGTACAATTCATCCAACCAAACATTCTCGTTTAGGTTTCATTTCTTAATCATTTCACCCCAAGTTTCTTCAAAATCCTCTTCAGAGTCACATTTGCTCAAGCATTTATAAACAAGATCATTGACTCTCCTGCTACCCACGCCACAATGGACTTTTGAAGATAACTTCTTGTAAATATGTCATTGGTCTAATCTATGTCTGGTTTGCGGAAGACACTCTTCAATGGCTTTAGAAATTTCTTGGTTTTGGTCAGTTAATATTGTTATTGGATGTTTGTTATCCATTATACGGATAAAAGTATTGAATAACCACTTGAATGATTTAATTGTTTCATTTGACAAAAAATCGACACTAAAAAAATATTTTGCCAGTGGTGATTCACACCGACAATCGGAGCACAACATAAATTGCATTTATTCAGTCTATAACTTGTATCAAATATTATTACATCCCCAAAACAGTTGTAATCAATCCTGGACATCCCGTCGCACCATAAAAAATTCACCAAACATCCCGCCTCATCAATTTGGAAGTCCCTCGCAAACACTGGATCCTCCGCTTGTCGAGTAGTAAACAATTGTATGAGAGAATTAGGATCCCCTAATTCAATTTGAACTCTTCTCTCTCTTTGTATGAAATTATACGCATCCCTTTTTGTACAATCCTCTGACCTCAGTTGCGAGGAATCTGAATGCATCACTGGTTCTAATCCCTGATTTTGTCATTGATCTGAGGATATCAACACTGACGTCACACATCTTTCTGTTGGAACCTAATAGATGCTTGTCACCGTCCTCCGCCAACGGATGGTTGTGACTTTCTATGAATTTCTTTACCGACCAGTTGCCCTCTAAATCAACGAAGTATCGGATCATGGTTGGACAACCAGTCCTTGTGTCCGCTCTTTTGAACCTCGTAGTAATAGTGTCCTTCAACTCTTTCTTGAAACCAGCCTTACCACAAATAAATTTTTTTGTCTTAAGCTTCTTTGAATTCGGCCAGAAACCACTGTGTTCCTTCCACACAGTAAATCCAATATGGTGTGCATATAAACAATACTGTTCATAGGCTTCATTCTCATTGTGGACCACTGCATGAAGTAATTTCTCTGTCTCGGGTGACTGTAAATTTAAACATCATTAATACAATGCTACAATACATAAATAACACGATAATAATACCATAATATAACCCCAATAGCACCATGACAATGCCAATATAACATGCCGAATAAATGCCGTTAAGAAATGTTACTAGCCTCATAAAAGAAAACCAACTAATGTTACATTGTGATACTACCAAAATAACACTGCAACACTACCAAAATAACATCAAATCCCACGACAGTAACGTTACATTATGATACTACCAAAATAACATCAAACCCCAACTAATATTATAACGAACAATCAGAAATGGAAAACAACTGCAAAAACAATCAGTGTATCACCGTGATATTACCTAAATAACACCACTTCCCACCCAATCGAAACTTAGCGTTACACGTCATCTCCCACTTCCCACCCAACCGAAACTTAGCGTTACACGTCATCTAAAAATAGAGCAAACTTCATTAACAATAAAATTATTCCTTGAAACCTAAAACTGCATTCAAAGAAGTCCTCAATGTACATGTCAATGTCCTTCTGCCGCATCTAAACTCTGCTCATTCTGATTATTCTCAAAAATATTCTGACATTCCAGCTCATTGTTATGTTTCTTTCAAGTAATTTGAGATTTGAGCAACATTTCTTCATCAAAAATTATTTCCATCGAACCAGGTCCATCGAATACGAGGCAACAAAATGAGAATATACCGAATCCCTAAATCCTAAAGGAGACAAAATGCCACTTTTTATGAACTGACGGGAATTGAAAATGATAAAAAAGACATTTTTTTTTGGGCGGAATTCGGGCCGGGTTGGGCGTCAAGAAATTGAGTTTTTAAAATAAATAATAGCAGTGGGGCCGGATTCCATGTGGTCGTTTCTTATTCGGTACCGCATGCAGGCGTTTATGCGGTGCATGTACCAAATAAAAATTCACGAGGTGAGCGGGGTTAATGTGTTTGACTAATTAATGTTTTGTAGATTAATCTGTGTTTAATTGATTTAAATATAGAATGAGCATTATTATGACAGTAGGGGCATTAATGTCTGGAATATGAGATAATAAAGATAACATCTTAAGATAATAACTCTTTATTTTATTTTTATTATTATAATATAAAAAATATAAATAATCTCATAATTAAAAATAATTTATGCGCATACTTAAATTTTAAATAAAATAAAATAATTTCATAAATTTTACATATCTAACGGATAAATTTTACTACTACACTAATGCCCACCCAGATTTAAGTGGATTCTTTAGAAAATAGCTATTATTAAAATTAATTCACTCTTGATTCTATGATTTAATTTTTTAGTTTACATTTTATTGGATCCTAATTTATCCTTTGGAACATGCCCCGATAGAGCGGAGTGAACGAGAGAAGGAAGAGAGTAGGATAAGTTTGGAATTTTTTTAGGGGGAGTTGAGGGAAAGGACCTCTTTTATTCATATTTTTGTCTCGTACTTATAAATGTGTGTTTTGTACTGTTACAAAAAAAAAACAATTATGGAATCTATTTTTAATGTCATTAATGTTCAAATTGATTGTATAGATATTATATCATATTTGCATTAAATTTGAATTTCAATATTGGTGTCCGGCCGCATGACGATCTTACTTGATGTCTTTTGGCACGGCCGACCAAAGCGGCTGATTGTGATGTGGTCGTTAAGTCAAACGTGATCGATCGGTTTTTTTCGTTAAGTGAGTCATGATTCATTTTTCGTTAGGCTCGAGTCTTACAGCGCTCGTGTATCGCTTGCCTGCTTGGTTCAGTTCGTTGTCTCAACCGAATCTCCGAATCTTGTAAGGTCATAGGCGGATCTTTTCACAGCTTATGTGGGGTATTGACCAGACCCACAATTACGCGGTTATTTTTTTCTTAAAAAAAAACTTGGCCCGATTTCTTTAGGCAACTAGTGTGCAAAATGAATATGTTATAAAATTTAAAATTGATTTATAAATTACACACTAGGGGTTATACGCAAGTATGCGTATCGTTGCAAGTAATATTGAGTTTTTTTAAAAAACCGTAATATTGATCTCACGGAGAAGCAGTAACTTTATATAATGACTTATAAAATTTCGTAATATTGATCTCACAGAGAAACAATAACTTTATATAATGACTTATAAAATTCTCACTTAAAACAATAGATACTTACCTAGGAAAAAGAAGTAATCAGTACCAATAAGTGCAGTTTAAAAATAAAAATAAAAATATGAAGTGTTTCAAAGACAACTAAGTGTAGAAGTGTTTCAAATTGTATGAAGAATCTTCTTCCTTGCAATGAGTTTATAATCAGTATAGGAATTAAAATTTTAAAGGTCAAAATGTAGATTTGTGTCAAATAGGATCATACCTATCTTTTACCCTCTTACAAGTGCATAAAGAACATTGGTTAATCTAAAATAAGGTTGCAAATTTTCTCAGGTTATGTTGGGTAGGTTCTAGTTTTTCACTTCCAGATTACCCGTTGTACTCTCTCTATAGGAGTAATCGGTCCCACGGATTCAAACTCTAGACTAAAATGGAAAGAATCTAGCTTGCCACCCTAGAAACACCAATTCTACACCCTTCAAAATTTATTCTTCTATCTATTTGCACTGCATTATGGACTACTTGTCCTTCACCAATAATGTAATGTGATTTTTACTAGTTGAGGAATACATAGCCCTCCCGGGTTATTATGGATTCACAACAAATTTTAACATACCAATTGACCAGATAAATATGTAAATGAAGCATGAAATAATGAATCATCACAAGTATGAAATAAGAGAAGTTTTAAACAATATTAATCCTAAACAAGACTAATTCTCTTTACAAGGAGAAAGATAAGAAACTACTCATGGTATTGAACTCGTTATTGGTGAGGCCTGAGTTTTTCCTCTCTAGAAGCCTAAGGTCTAGCCATAAAACTTTCCTATTGACTATCCCAGAGGACTAGTGATGAATCCCTTTTTTAGAAATTCTAAACATTTTCTTATTCTTTCCTAAGTTTAACATGTATAGTTCTTTTCTCTAACACTTAGAAAATTGGAACCAATAAGGGAAAGCTCAAAGAGAATTCCTATAAGATTATCACGCCTTAAGGTTAGCCCTGGGTGGCTTGGTTTTCGTTAGGCTTACACAAACATGTCGGTCATTGAAGGGGAATTTGAGAAATTGTCGGTCGCCGGAATGAACATCCTGACACCCGATTTCAAAAGTTTGTTTAATTTAATATACATATATATATATATATATATATATATATATATTTATATATACATATATATATATATATACTATCTATATGCATCTATGCATCTATGCATATGTATCTATATGCATCTATGCATCTATGCATATGTATCTATATGCATCTATGCATCTATGCATATGTATCTATATGCATCTATGCATCTATGCATATGTATCTATATGCATCTATGCATCTATGCATATGTATCTATATGCATCTATGCATCTATGCATATGTATCTATAGGTATCTATGCATCTATGCATATGTATCTATATGCATCTATGCATCTATGCATATGTATCTATATGCATCTATGCATCTATCCATATGTATCTATATGCATCTATGCATCTATCCATATGTATCTATATGCATCTATGCATCTATCCATATGTATCTATATGCATCTATGCATCTATCCATATGTAGCTATATGCATCTATGCATCTATCCATATGTATCTATATGCATCTATGCATCTATCCATATGTATCTATATGCATCTATGCATCTATACATATGTATACATATGTATCTATATGGATCTATGTATCTATATGTATCTATATATGTATCTATATGTATCTATCTATATATGTATCTATATATGTATCTATATGTATGTATCTATATATGTATCTATATATGTATCTATATGTATGTATCTATATATGTATCTATATATGTATATCTATATGTATCTATATATGTATCTATATATGTATCTATATATGTATCTATATATGTATCTATATATGTATATATATGTATCTATATATGTAT